AATTTTCACAATTAAACTTTTATCATTGGTCACAAAAAAACACGGTACTCTACTCACAATTTTAATATCCTTAAGACATTACTAAAATTTGAATTTTTATATTATTTTGTGGACTTCGCTTATGAAATTCAATTATAGAAAAGGAAATTAAAGATATAGAATTCTTTATATCTTTTAAAACCAATGCGAAACAGCATATTGTCACGTCATTTTACATTATATGTGATTTTAGGGTATTTAAGTTTAATATTTGATTTTAGAGAGTTTTAAGTTTATGTTAGAAATGTATAGTTTACATAGTCTTCTATCTACAAATTACTTAAATCTTAAAAATATAACAGAAAATAGTTTTTTCTCTAATTGTTTCATTTTTGCCCAAACCTACTTTTTGACTCATGCGACAGTTTTTTTCAACGTGGAAATAACATTTCTACAGTGATACACAAAGTTTTTTAAACAATTATTTGAGAAGGCCTTAGTTAAAGCATGTCACCAAATGTACGTGATATAATAAAATAATTATTTATTTATACAATCTTTTACAGTTTTCTCAAAACATGAAAAAATGGCGATTGTGAAATGGCTGTGACAATATTTACTAGGCACGACTTATTTACTAATTGTTACATTATTTTTTAAAATTATTAGTTTTATGTTAAATGTATAACACTTATAGTGTATATAATGTATAAACAGTATATAGTTTATTTTTTTCTGAAATAGTTTTTTAACGGAAATGGTTTTGTTTACTTATTTTAGAACTGAAAGTTTATTTCATTTCATTTTACTTGACAACATGTTGTAAAGTTTAAGTACAAAGGCGATGATTCCAATGATCAGCATGCCCACCTTATTTTCATACTATATACTATGATGTGTAAAACATGTAGGGTAGAACGGAGCATATAGAAACACTTAAGAAACAAAAGGCTAGTTGCAAATAAACTAATCTTAAGTAAAATTAGTTTCTTAAAGATCATTAATATAGTAAATTGAAAAAATAAAAATAGAAATTCTCAAAATAAGCTACGACAATCAAAGTAATACTGCAAGATGAGAGTATAGGGGCGCTTTACATAATGTGAGATCTATTGTTTTTTATTTTTTTAATTTTATTTAGGTACCCCAAGAAGTCTTTACGGTCTTCATAGAGCTGTGCGGATAAGCAATTAATTGGAAGTTCCTCCTTGCTAACCGATGAGGCAAAATTTACTTAGAGGTGGAGTTTGAACCACGGATCCTTTGTTTCTGAGGCAAGTGCGCAAACCAATGCGCTACGGCTGCTCAAAGTTTAAAGTAGATTTAATAAAGTGTGACCAATCTTTTTAAAGCGCTTTAGTAAATAGAGTAATGACTTAATAGAGTTATGAACTTTTATCCAATGATCATTCCAGTTAAGATTCTTGTTTATTAGGATTCCTAGGTACTTATAGCAATCAACTGATTCGAGTTTGGAGTTTAAATTAATTGGAGATGGAATTGAAACTTGATTAGGGTGGCAACTCTCTATTAATAATGTTTTCACTTAGGTTTCATGCTATTAACAGTTGCCCAGTTCGCCACACCATCCACAATAAATTTTATTGTCTTTTGCGTAGCTATATTCTTTTTTTACTTTTATCATAGCATCCATTGTACTATGTTAAAGGAGAAACCAAAATTGTTTATTTGTGGTCCAGATATGCTTCGTATGATTAAATATGCACAAGATACGTTTAAAGAATTTACACAGAGAAGATGTAATAGCTATTGGTCGATAATCTTCCATAGGAAGTGGGTTCGCTATTTTAGGTATAAGTGTTAAGTGAGTTGATCTGGCATATAATTGCATTCAATTAGTTGATTAAATAGAATACTGAGTGATGAGAGTATTTTGAGACGGGATTTTAACAAAATTGGAGATTATCAGAGCCTGGTGATCCAAACTTGAGTTTGCTAAGTTGGGTTAAAATATTTTAAGTAAAAATGGGATTTGCAGGTTGATCTGCATTCGTGTTAATAAAGATTGAGATATTATAAGCATTTTTATCTTTCCGAACATTACGATAATGATCGTTTAATTTATTGGCTAGATTTTCAGAAACTGATGGTTTATTTATCATTCTAGACGTTGACTGGAAAAATGTTTCAATTTGCTAAGGTTTTGAGAGAGTTACTTTTAAAAAAATATTACTTTCATAATAGTTACACAACAATTCCCTTTAAACAATTAAAAATGTTTTTTTAAGTTCTATTTGCACAATGATTAACGATTGCAGCACTGTAGTTTTCTTGGAGATTAATACTGAATCTTGGAGTTCTCAAATGAATATCTAAATGTTTGTATTGTTTTTCAAATGAATATCTAAATGTTTGTATTTATTTATAAATTTTTGTTATTAAACTTGTTTATATTCTTCTAAATCTAAAAATAAAAAAAAAAATAAAAAAAAAAAGCGTTTTTTCCTCAAAGGAAAAAACTGTTTCATTATTTACAAAGGAGAAATGCTGATAATCAATAAGAAAAAAAAATTTCTTCTTTGAAATACACAGACAATCAACTAGCTATGTAAAGGGAAGAATCTATGTAAAGAAATAAAGCCATATAAAAGATTATATTTATATTTTCTTTAAATTCTATTGAAATAGCATAGCCTATATTAAATTGCATGCGTTCTGTAAATGTTTGCCCTGGCACTCTAATTTAATATTGTTTTCTTGCATTTTCAATTTCTTTTTTTCTTTAGACATGATAGAGGATACTGTCTTACCACCCCCTGCCTCTGTTAGGTTGGGTAAAGGGTAAAGTCGGGCAGCCGACTTTACCCTTTACCTAACCTAACAGAGGCAGAATATTTATTAATTCACTGGCTTTAAAACAAATACTAGTTTTAAAGCCAGTGAATTAATAAATTTTTTAATAAATATTGTAAATAAAAAAGTATAAATAAAATTGAATGTGTAAAGAAATTATAAATAATAAGAATGTATAAAGAAAAAAAAATTCAATAAAAAGTTATTAGTTTACATAAAAATTAGATATATTTTTATATGAATCATACATCACTCTTCTGGTGTTGGGAATCAATATTTTGTATTCCCAGACAATCGCTTAGGCATATTATTACAAATATTTTGCATATGCTGTATTTTCATTCAAATATTGTTTTTATAGTGTTTAAAACCACATAGTTTCTTTAGTTTAAGCTGTACATCAAGTGTCTGGAGTTACAAGACATCCGGGGCTACCCAAACTTTCCCTAAGCAAAACTTTACTGCATCACAGATAATTCCCTGGCCAGAGAAGACTATTTCTAAAGTTAGGACAGTTATTCAAGAACTCCATGCAACATTTGTCTTGAAGACACTTTAAGTACATTCCACCTAAGGTAATATCCGACAAAAAAAAGAAAGAAGCTATGGCTCCTAAAGAAATTTGTAAACAAGGACGATTGGCAACTGGAGATAAGAAAAACACATTTACGGATGGTGTTAAAGAAAATTAAGTTGTGATGCTAAGAAAACCACAAAAATAAAGCGGAAAAATGACGTAATTTTGTTTAAAATGTATGTTTTTATCTGTAAAGTATAAAAAACTTTTTTTCCTTTATTTTTAAACATTTAAACTTTTTAAATGTTTTCTGTATTGTATGTTTTTTATAGTATACGTTACAAACTATAAAAAACATACTTTTTTGTTTTTCCACGTATTATTCAAGCACCTGTGCCCAATTTTTGTTTGACATTTCGGGGGCTATAACCCTTTTGTTTATTTTCGGATGTCATTTACTCTAAATGTATCGAGAAGAGCAACTATCCTTTGATACAATAAAACTTTGAGATTGATAATTTATGAAATAACGAGTTGGAAATTATTATATATATATAATACTAGGTAAAAACGTTGACCACTAAATTCTTCAATATAACAATATATAACATATAATAATATAACATAATATAACAATATATAATATATAATAATATGACAAGCATGGTTATTTTAAAGTCATAATTACAGGTAACCTTGTCCGAAACTTGAATCATTTTACTTAATTATGCTTTAAGTATTTTTTAAATATATTTATAAAAGTGTTTTTTAGTTTTTGATATGAAAAGTATGAAGATGAGTTAGACACATTCTCCAATTCACCTTCAGATTGTTTTCGTTAAATGTAATTACTGAGATTCTCTATCTCCATAGAAAGTAGATTTCTAATCTCGTAATTGAGCTGAGGCTCGCTTGTGAGATAAACTTGGGTCTTGAGGTACTGTATCTTTATATAATTTATACAAGCCATTTACATAATTTATGCCATTTTTTATCTGTGTATAATTTTTATCTGACATAAACACTGCTATATAAAAAAGAAAGCAAATTTATTTCGTGAGCATTTATTTTAACAAACTTGTTAATATACTAAAATTGTAGCTTCTATAACCTCTAGTATATAACTTGTTTAAATCTTGTAGACTCTCCATTAGTATTTTTATATAAATACTAGTGAGTGGATAGCGCAATCGCTAGAACAAATAGTTGGCGTTTTAAATTAATTTAAATTATTTTTAATTATTCTAGGATAAATAATTGTAATAATTTACATTGAGCCTACAATAATTTGACTAAAATTAAGTTATAACAAATCTGGGTAGAACTGGAAACTGTCGCTGAATCAGCGTAATTGGTAAATCATTTTCTATTGGACTCGCAATTGTTGACTGAATAAGGTTTTCAGTCTATTGCCTAACAATAAATCGTTCTCGTTGCACACTCTTATATACAGGATAATTATTGCTCATACTTGTAGCTGGTGTAGTAGTAATCCTGACACACTGAGCAAATTGAGAAATTGGATAGAAAAGTATTTTCTTTCTCAAACTCAATTTTATCTTTTTTCAATAACAACAAAAATTGCACATATTAAAACAATTTAAAACTATTTTTTATGATTTTTTATTATGAACTTTATTAGATTTTTTTTTTTATAATTCTTTAAATAATATGAAAAAAAAAAAAAAAATTTGAGCATTTTTGTATTTATAAAAAAAACAGCTCAATAATACAAAACAAATTAATTAGAGCTAAACTTTTCTATTTTTATAATTGTAAAACTTCTAACTTTTCAAGCAAGTTTTCATCAGTGTTCTTATAAGATTTTCCAAATTTTTCTTCAAAAATAGCTTCAAACTTTTCACATTGTTCACTGCGCGCAAACTTTACAGTTTTTCTAAGCTTTACATTTCTCTGTTGGAAAAAAGTGAACACAGTATGAAATATCAGGTCATCCCCTGTTGCTAAAGCAGCACTTAGAAATTTTTGAGGAGCAATTAAATCAGTCAGATCATTTTCTTGCAATGATTTCAAAGCACAAATAATGCCATCTTTTTCTAACAAGACTTCAATTATATCGTCATGGTTACCCAATCTTTTAAGCATGTCAAGAGCTAAATTAAATGCTGGCGGATACTCCTTTTGCAGGGAGATAAGTAAAAAAGCTAATGATTTTGAATCATTAAAAACGTGATATTGTAAAAACTGATGGAGCTGATAGTACATTTTATGATCAAAAAGAATTTCTATAAGATATTCATTTAAATAATATTCTAATTGAATCTTGTAACAGCTTAATGAACGAATATAGTCTAATATAATTGCAACAACTGTTTTAGGAGAACCCTCCATTTCAACAAAAGGTTGAAATACACTAACATACATATCATTTTGCTCAATAATTGACTGATTTTGAAACCAAAGTCCTGTAAAATCATTTTCTTTAATGGTGTCTTGAGAATGTCCAGAACTATTCATCTCAAGATATTCTGAATAAACTGCATTTAACTTATCAAATACTTGAGTTATGATACCAAGATTATACTGACAACCTGGAGTAATTAATTGGTTTAAAACTGATATAATAAAACTTTTACTCCCAGATCGAAGAAGTAAAAAGTCTATAAGTCTAACTTTATCATTAATCATATTTAACAGAGATGATAGTTTAACTTGAAGTTTCCATAGACATCCTAATTTCGCATCAATTATAATATTAGGTTGAAACACAACCCAATTGGCTGAGTAGGTTTCACAAGTTAACTTATTCTCTATGCTTCCAATAGTTTTAGAATCGTTATTAAAGAATACAGGCTCAATAGGTAAAGGAGAAAGCACTGGATAATAGTAAGTCACTAAACCATCAAAATCTCCTTGAAGACCAATATCAAATATCATTGATGTTTTTGATGCTTGGTGATGAACAGAAATCAAATTATCAACTACATTGACAGCAAACCTACCAACTGCTCCTAAACGCAAAACAGCTGTCTTTTTAGCAGGACCCTCTTTTTGTAACTGATATAAAACAATTTCTGCACCAACAGAGTTCATTGAACGAGGGTGATTTCGCAAAACAACAACATATATATTGTTATAAATATTAGCAATTGTAACATCTCTTTCTAATAATGCAGCAGCCTGAGAATTTCTAGAACATGGAGGATTCTCAACTTCAAATTTTGATAATCTGGTAATAGATCCATTTTTAAAAATATAAGGATGTATCATGTTTCCCATTATATCTGATGATAACAATAATACAAAAACATCAGGAAGAAAAACAAACCAGTTCACTGAAGTACGATAAGTTTTTATTAGTTTTAAAGAGTATTTTTCATTTTGTACTAAATAAAATTCTATTCCTTGATTTGTAACAAAAACGATATCATTATTACCTGTCCAACAAAAACCAATAATTTGTGTTGAATGACCTTTACACGTTTGTGAATACTCATCAAATTTTGCACCTTCATTAAAATTCACAAAATCTATTGATTTTACTGTTCTTTGAATTGCTAAAACAGATTGATTAGGTGAGAATTTAATAGAAATTACATGCCCTTTGTTCTGTAATAAAAACACTGTATTCAAGTTACTATCGAATCTTTTTACTTGTACACGAGTTCTGTCATTATCGTTTGAGACTGCAAATACTTGCTTCATGCATTCATCAAAAAATACATTGATATCTTTTGAAACAGGTGGAAACGTTAATGAATTCTGTACTAATTCTAAGTAATACGATGCCATGCAAATTCTAGTCTAACCAAAAAATGGTTTATCATATAATTTAATAAAAAATGGTTTATCATGTAATTTAACAAAAGTCTTTAATGCATGTATAAATATTCTGCTTAATTTGAATTTATAACTACTGTAATAAAAATGGTCAGTTCGGGTTTCTACAAAAACTGTACAAATAAAAAATATATATCATTTTATTCTAATACTTTACAAATCGCTTCAAAAATAAGCTTCTTTCAAAACTGGCTATTTAAAAACATTCGGCTTTTAATAAATAAAATTGGTAAGTTTCGAGTGAATCCGAGGTCACAACTCGAAAAGGTTGTTTTTTTTGTAATTTTTGTTTTAGGTGCTCCAGTTAGAACGTCGCTGAGCACTGCGGAAGAGCATTAACTTGGAAGTTCACGCTTTCTTCCTTACGGATGGTGTGAAATATGCCCAGAGCTTTTCTACCCTTGCTTTTCTACCCTTAGATTGCGCCACAGCCGCTATTTTCGAAACGTTATCAAAATCCTATGAACGTTTTGATAATGTTTCTGATTACTATACTCCATAGTTGGGGGCCTCTAGCTGTCATAGAAAAATTTAGTGGTTGTGAATGAGAGAGGCGGTCTGCGTTGGGTATTATTCTTATGGCATGTTTTTGTTTGTTGAATAGTTTGTTTAGTTTTTTTTTTATTGGTGCTGCACCAAGAAATAATAGTATAATTGAGATAACAATGAATAAAAGAGAAGTAGATATATTTTAAGCATATTTGATTTAAGTAAGGTTTTACCTTATAAAGTATGCCAATATTTTCAGAAACGATTAATTTTATGTGATTTATCCATGTGACATTTTCGTCAAGAAGAACACCTAGAAAATTTATTGTGTTCTCTTTTTATAAATTGATTCCCAATGCTAACATTTAGGAGCTTCAGAGGAATTTCGTCTCTTTGATAAAGGCAATGAAAAAAATATACTTAGTTTTGATTAAGTTTAGTGGCAATTTATTTGTGTTAAACAATTCAGCTACTTTTAACAGTTTTTTGTCGACTGTTTTAAATAAAGTTTTTATATTACTATGGGAATAAAATAAATAGGTATCGTCAGCAGACAAAATGAAGTCAAAAATATTCGAAGCTCTAAAGTCGTTAATATATATTAGAAACAAAAGCGATCCTAAAATGGATCCTTGAGGAATTCCACAAGTGATTGTCTAATTTTCAGTTATACCACTATTATAAGAAACATACCGCTTTCTATTAGAAAAGTAGTTTTTAAACCAAACTATATTTGGATTCTTAACTCTGTAATTTACTAGTTTTTCTAATAAAATATGATGGTCAATTGTGTCAAAAGCTTTGATAAGGCCTATAAAAATATCTAATGTATATTCTTTTTTATCAAAGGCTTGAAAAATATCATGAACAAGTTTAAGAATAGCATGATCAGTTGAATGACCTTTTTTAAACCCAAACTGTTTGTTATATAAAATATTATTTATTTCTAGAAAAGAGAATAGTCTGTTATTCATTATTCGTTCAAGTATTTTAGAGAAGCAAGGAAGAATTGAAATAGGTCTATAATTAGAGACATTAGAAGAATCACCCGATTTAAAAACCGGTATAATTCTTGCAGTTTCAAAATTTTCTGGAAATATTCCTTGTTTTAAAGAAAGATTAAAAATATTCAACAGTGGTGTTATTAAATAATGCATAGATTTTATCACAATATTACTACTTATTTCATCAACTCCTAATTCTTTTTTTAGGTTTAACGTTTGAAAACAATTAATAATCATTTTAGATATTAATAATCATTTTTAGAAAGTTTATTGTTGGTCATTTTTGTATTGTTAGCAGTTAAATATGACTCTACGCTAAATTTACCAGATTTTAGTTTTAAGGCTAAATTTGATCGTACACCAACAAAAACTTTTAATTAAAAAAAAATTTAAGATTAAATATTTTTGCAATTTTTGATTCATTAAGTATATCAACACCATCAAAGTTTATTGTTTTTGGAAGACAAGTAGTTGATATTTTTTTTTACCAATTAATTCTTTAATGACATTCCAAGTTTTCTGAGTGTTACCTTTGAATTTTAGTAATTTATTTGAATAATACATTTTCTTTGAAAGATTTATAACTTGCTCAAAAATACCTTTATATTTTTTTACTTGGATTCATTATCAAATGTTCTTTTTGAAAGAAATTTTTCGTACAAATGTTGTTTCTTTTTTGATGATTTTAATATTCCGCTAGTTATCCATGGGTTCAAATATATTTTAGCTTTAATAATTTTTGTTATCTCTGGAAATGCATTATTTTAATGTGGTACTAAAGCTATTATTAAAATGTTAAATAATCTATTAAAAAGTTGCAAATTATAAGTTTTATATATAAAAAACTCAAATATACAAATTAATTTGTAAATAAAATTTTTTTCTTGCCTCGCTACCCAAATCTAAAAACACATAAAAAGAAAAATACGCAGAATGCAATATTTAGCATTTTAGTTACATTCATATTTAGCGAGTTAAGATTACATATTTGCGAGTTAAGATTACACATTTGCGAGTTAAGATTACATTTTTGCGAGTTAAGATTATATTTTTGCGAGTTTGGAAATTGCGAGTTTGGAAAAAAAAAAAATTGGAAAATGATCCGATATTTCGGATATAAATATTTTAACTTTTGTCTCTGTAAATTTGTTAGTTATAATTTGATCAATTGAGGTTGCACTATTTTCGGTGGTTCTAGTTGGTTTTTTTATGGTTAAAATCAGGGCTTTGGAGCCGAGTTCTAAAAATTGGCTCCGGCTCGATTAGAATTTTTGGCTCCAGCTCCGGAGCGACTCCGAAAAAAAAATAAAATTTTTTTATGTTTTATGACAACTTAAATACTATTAATATTTTATTAATCAAAATCTTGATTCATCCTTAAAAATAAAATATTTTAAATACGAGGTTTAAGTGAAGAACGCAGATCGCTCGATACAAAATATAAGAGCAGAAAATAGCCTATCTACACTTGCTTAGATAGGTATACTCTGCACGCCTCTTGTATTCCTTTTTAGTATTTTTCAATTTCCTCTATAGCTGAATTCACTTTTAAACGTCCCATTTCTTCTATTATCCTCCAGTCATCAAAAAAGTTTGTATTTAAAATATTTTTATCAAAATTCATTTTGGTCCCGCTTTTCCTTTTATCTTTTTTATAAAGCTCCTTTTCAAACTAATCCTCTTCTCCATCGGAATTAGATTCACTTAAAACTGAAAGAAATACTGTAGGTGGCAAATCATTACATTTTTTTTCTTGACATTCTATTATATTGGCGTCTCTTTCTATTTATTTTGACATCTCTTTTATAAATTTTTTCTGCTATTGTTTGTTTTGCCTTTTTTTGCTCGTAATAGGTTATCTGGTATCAAAATTTCCAATAGTATTCTATATCTACCATCAACATAAACTGCAAATATATCATTATCAAAAGGTTTTTCTTCTTGTCTCTTCATAGATTTTGAAATATCTTCTGCAAATAGTCCTTGATTCTTTTCTAGGTCAGATTTCAATTTCAACCATTTTTTTAGGAACTCTCCCGGAGTGATGTTAATTTATTGAAGTTTATCTATCACATCGTGTGGCTTTTTTAAAAGATTGCAAAGATGACTTAAATTATTACATATTTCATGGCATATAAAGAATATCTGATCTACTGCAGAAAATTGCTCACACAGTGGATGCAAAAGTAACAATCTTTCAATTATCCAGAATGTAGAACCTCAGCGTGTCTCATTATCCAAAATTGAAACAACCTTGTATCGCTTCCTTGCTAAAAATATTGTATGCGAGTTTTTTAGTTTCTTTATAACATAACGGACTTTTGCTAAAATTTGGGTAATGTGTATTTTTTTAAATCATACGAATAGTTAGATGCAAAGAGTTAATAACACAGCGAATCAGCTTGAAGTTAGTAGACACTTAGTGACACCATTCTGGGTTGATAAAGGCTTTGTTTTTTGTTGTAAAAACTCCACTTGATACCACTATGTGAAAGCAAACGAATCTAAAGTAATCTGTTTAGTTTTATTAGTATTGCAATCTTGTGATTGTGATAAAGATGATTTTGAAGATTTTATTTAGTCCATAAGGCTTATTTCAGACTGCAAATTTTTGATTTTTTTATATGCATGGCGTATGAAACCACATTATCAATTATCTTTTCTGTAATCGTACATTTAACCAGTTTTGTAGTTTTATCAGTTGAAAAAATACTTATCTAGAAACCTCTCAGGATCGTTTAAAGCTATTTTTTTTAAAAACTATGAAACAAAGTAAATGACAAATTTTAAAGATAAGAGAAATAATAAAAAAGATAGTATGTACAAAGATAATATCAATAATCTTAAAAAATAACGTTTAAAACCATATTCTAATTTTATTTGGAAACCACATGTTTAAATCTATTTTAAAAATGATCCAACTAATTAAAAACTTTAAAACAAATCATGTGACTAGATAAAGTATTTTTTTGTTAAGGATCGTCCATAAAGTACGTACTCTCGAATTGGGGAAAGGAGTCAATTATAAAAGTAAAGAGACACTAAATTAAAAAAATTATCATAAGATGTTAAGAAGCTAAGTTAAAACGGTAGGTGCTTTAGGGAGGTGGAGGGTACTTAAAATAGTGTAAAGCAAAATGCAGGGGAAGGGAGATAAAAAAAAGCTTACGTGTTTTATGGACAACCCCTTAACCAATCATTGTTTAGAAGTATTGTTTTAAAGTAACTCATCATACTCTACAATAAGAACCACATGAATTATAACATAAAATAATTGGATAAAAATTAGTATTTTGAAAAAAAAAATTATTCTTTTTGTTTTTTTAATAAACCGTATAAAAAAAATGCTATATTTAGAAATTATAAATATTTTAAAAGCGTAATTGTTTAAATTCTTTTAAAAAAATCTCATTATATAAAATAATAGCTTTATAAAAATTTGGTATTTCAAAATATCAAAGGGTGGCTCCATGTATAACCTCCAGCTTCGGATAGCTCCGGCTCCAGCTCCGGAACTGCTTCAAAGCCCTGGTTGAAATAAATCCGTTTTAAAATACTAAATTAAAAAAAAATTTTGACTTTTTCATTTGAGTCATTTTCTAACACATTTAATTTCAAATTGGTCACAAGGTAAACGTCACAAGGTAAACGCCACAAGGTAAACGCCATAAGGTAAACGCCACAAGGTAAACGCCCACAAGGTAAACGCATTTACTACAGACATCTCTATTTGTAATTAAACATTTTATGTGTTTATCAAATATTTTCATATTACCTTAAGGCGGTCTGTATAAAACATGCACAATTACGTTTTTAGTAGTTTTACTAAATATTTCAATTGTCAATGACTCACAATCTTTACTTGCAGTACAGTAATCACTTTGCAGTTTATAAATTAATGAGTTGTAGATAAAGATGCATACTCCTACTGGTTTTTCTAAGTTGTAAACTATTTTACAAATTTTTAACTGAAACTTTGAAATATTTTCAATTTTAATATTGTGACACCATGTTTCTGTGAAGCAAGTAACTTTAAACTCCGTTTTTGTGTTGAGTAAAAAAAATTTAAATTTCTCAAAACTTTTTTGAATGCTTATCAATCTATTTCAAGATTTAAAGTATTTAAGTTTTAATATAATAGACTTATGTTTTTAATTTCATTGCTATTATTATAAAAATTATGTTTTTAATTTCATTTTTAATTATTATAAAAATTACTTGGATCTCTAGAAGTATATTTTTGTTCATTTGGAAAGATTTAAATCGTGAATTTTTATCGTTTTTATCATTTAAATCGTGAATTTTTATCGTTTTTATCATTTAAATCGTGAATTTTTATCAAAATTCACGATTTAAATAAAAAAGTATAAAGACCAAAAAAATATAAAAAGCTGAAATGATTAAATTCTAGGGTTCTAATTTTTATGAAATTCTTTTATTATTAGTTTATCATAAATAACAATCGAGTACATAGCGTTGTTCCTATTGACTTTTATTTCTTCAAGTTATATTTTCCGTATCACTATTGTATCGAATAATCTTCGTTTATGTAAATCCTTGTTTATATAAAGGTATTATCCTCGTTTATGTAAATATTCGTTCCTTTGAGTTTGTGTGCGTTTTTTAATATTTGAATCTTATCTTTATAATTTAATAACTTTATTACTATAGTTCTTGGATTTTTTGAACTTGTCTTTCCTGTTCTGTGTCCCCGTTCAATAATAATTCTTTTTATGTTGAGATTCAAATACTTTAATGACCTTTTGTAGTTTTCAAATACTTTAATGACCTTTAATTCGGTTTCCTTCCAGCTTTCCGATTCGTTCTCTTTAAGTCCATTAAGTCGAAAATTGTTTCTTCTTTGCCTGTCTTCTAACTGTCTAATTTTATTTTTTTCTGTTTGACCGATTTCTATTTTGCTGTGAATTTTTTTCTCTAGGTCATGAACTTTCTTTTCTTGATTGTCTTGGGAAAAATTAAGCTAACTAACGATAGTTTTTAATAATATCAATAGCTACAAAGCTACGATATCTAGATAGCGACATGTCGTAAAAAAATTTCATAAATGTCATAAGTTCAATTATTTTCATAAATATATTAGATCCAATAACTAAAAATAGAACTTTATAAGACATAAAAAACAAAAAAAATGTGAAAAAATTGTTATAAAGCTAGTCGCAAGTTAATATCTCACAGAGTATCAGTGGCGTATTCAGCATAAGGCTTGGGGAACGTTAGGAAACAACGAACCGTCGTTTACATATCTGCTTTACAAATTTACCCGCATTTATGGCAGAAAGCAAAACGGAGATATTTTTTTGTTAAATTATCTCTTATAGTTATAAAATACACAGTCAATGCATTTTTAACATTAGTTTGATATATCAAAACTACTGTGACTGCGACAGATATTCCATAAAGCTAGAATGACTTTGCAAACGGTAAACAACTTTTTTTTCAAAGAATTAAATGATTTCAACACTGTTCGGCAATTTAGATTTGTTTTTATGTGTTTATGTAAAAATCTTTTCAGCAAAAACAAGTAAGGCACCCCTCCCCACTTGTTGCAACATCGTGCCTGCCCTACTTTCAAAGTTGTGTATGCATCAATATCTCTAGCAGTGACAACTGAACAACAAATAAAAAGAAGTACATCTATTCTTAATTAAGAAATAGATGATATTACGTTTTGCTAACTTGTCTATACTCTACAGACTCTTCCTTTTACACCTGATTATGATGAGAGAATTTTCAGTATAACAAAGATTGTTTTTAAAAAACTAGGATCTAGGATTGACAATGACAAAAGAATGTCTTTCTGGATTGGTAAGAATGTCTTTCTATATTGGTAATCGTACAGATTTGTGACGTCTTATAGACGTCACAAATCCGTACGATGTATTAAAGAGGTACATCGTATTGTTTTTTATACTAATAATCCATTATACCTGAAAATCGACTTAAAATGGATTTACACGTTTTTTGGAGGTCTATATATATATTAACATAACAACAACAACAACAACAACAACAACAACAACAACAACAACAACAACAACAACAACAACAACAACAATAATGATAATAATAATAATAATAATAATAGCAATAATTGCAATAATAATAATAGCAATAATAGCAATAATAACAATAAAAAAACTCAAAAAATAAAATAGCAATTAAAAACTCTAGAAAATAATAAATTTAATTAAAAGCGTGGAAAAACTTTTCTAATTAGGTATATAAAATTTTTATATAACTTGTTACTTTTTATTATATACCCAATTAAAAGTTTGTGTCTTTTATATACTTTGGTGTTTTTTATTAAAAGACACAAACTTTTAATTTGAAAACTCTATTTTCATTAAAAACTATTGATAGTATAACATGTTAGTTAATATCAACAGTCTAAAATTTATTATATATATGGTTTACGATATTTTTAAATGTTTTTTTGATGAAAAAATGATTTAGTTATTTCCATTTTTTGGCATCCATTCAAGAAAATTTGCAATGCTCAACATTAATAATGTTTAACAAACTCGCTGCATAAACGACGTCATTCATATCCCAGAAGACAACTTCGATTCCATCAACAAAAAAATGGCATGCAAAAGCTACTTGCGGAACATTTAGTCGTTAAATAAATTGGTTCAAATTATACAGTAGTTAAAAAATTGTTTATATCAAAAAAAAAGGCTCAAATGTTTTCAGAGTCTGGAATAGATCTTGATTTTGATGTCTTCGATCAAATAGAGGAAGACCACAAGTTTTTTGAAGTAAAGTTAAATAGTCTCACTCAATCCAGGTAAGTCGACAACACTATTATTATAGGCATAGTCAAATATATAGATGTTATTTAATTCTTGGAAAAACAGTTAGTGATTATAGATTTTAATTAAAAGAAAAAACAATAATTAAATAATAATTTTATAATTTTTGTCGGCGCTGATAAAACGACGATTCTTATATTACGTGTTGTACAACATTATTAGGATATAAAGGGCTAGAGTATGAAAAATACACGTTGAAATTGTTATAGTAAGGGTTCTGTCTAATATAAAATAATATTTCTCTTACTTTTGACGCATACAAAAATATAATTTGAATTTTGATCTAAGGTTAAAGTTTATCTGCTATTTGGGTATGATAAGAAAAAAGATTATTTTTATATTGCAGACATTGTGTTGATGTTTATAAATTATATTTTTATTTGCCATAATCTCACCTACTTCATAGAAAATGATTATAAATTTTTGTGTTACATGACTTTTTCACAATTTATTAAATATAAAGCAATTTTGTTTTCAATTCACATATTGGTTATTACTGTTAACAAACCAGCAGTAAAACAAGAAGATCGAAATCCATATTGATGTTCAGAAAGAAAGTTATTAGATTCAAGATGAGAGATTAATTGTTTGTTAATTAAAGACTCAAAAAGGTTGATTATGATCGGAAGAAGACTAATGGGATAGTAGTTAGATAAGTCAGATCACTCTCCAGAAGTTTTAAAAATAGGGATAACAGATGTTGCTTTCCAGCAGGCTAGAAAACAAGATTTTGATAAGCACTTGTTAAATAGTTTTGATAGTATAGGCGACAGCTCCAGAAAACACTTCTGCAAGACTATAACAAGTATTTTGTCCAGACCACATGCTGTAGAAGAGTCTAAGCAGGGAGAATCTATTTGAATCATGAGAGAAGTAGTTTGTTATTACTTAAAAGCATTTTGCATGATATATAAAAATAAGTTATTTTGAAATATCGAAGTTATTTATCATAATACATACTTTTTAAATAAAAAATAAGTTTATATATATATATATATATATATATATATATATATATATATATATATATATATATCTTATACTGCTGATTTAGGCAGTGTGATGTCATACTGAAATAGCCTGCTTCAGTACAAAAATTGGCTGGTAAATAGCCTGACTCGCAGCAGAGTGCTACTACATTGACTGAGGGTTTGGCATGAGGCAGCAATCTTTTAATTCATTATTCTTCGTTTTTTTTTTTTTTTTTTTTCTAAAAAAGCTGTATGGATTTAGATTTGTCCTTGATGGACAGCACTCTTCTTCATATCCTGTAACTTCAGGGGTTCCTCAAGGTTCTTTCCTTAAGTCTATACCTTTTTTAATTAGCTTTAACGATCTTCCAGATATTCTCACATCGAAGGTGGCATTGTTCGCTGATGATACTACCATTTATTATTTTCTTAATAAGAAGCCAATACTCTTTGATTGCTTGGAGAGGGCATTTGAGCTTAAAGAGAATTTCACTTCTGCTACATCATCGAGCTCACAGTGGCTGGTGAACTTTAATTCAAATAAAATGAATGGTGATGTACTCAACTAGTCATTGAGCTTTCCCAGGAAACCTGTGTGGTTTTTCATCTTGTATGTCCACGCATGAGTATTTTATTTTAAACAACTTGGTCACAGCCATTTGTAAGTTTTATTATATGTGTTGCTGAAAAAAGCTTCAAAAACAAAGAAAGCAAAATAAAAAAATAGGCAATTAAAATTAACTTACAGGCCTTGTTATGAGATTTTGTTGCGTAACGGAAAAGCGCAACGTGAATATATATAACTTTATTAAATAAAGATATTTACATCGTTAAAAGTTTAATTGCGCCTTGTATTTTAAAATACCTTATTCTAATTAAATTCAAAAACACATCAGAAATTATTGTAAGCCTTTTAAATGTTTAAAAAATTTAAAATTCTTTAAAATGTTTAAAAATTTAAATTTAAAACTATATCTTTAAATTAAACAATATTGTGAAAAAAAAAATTATAAATCAAATTTAGCCCTAACCCTGATGTTGATTAAAAAAAAATTTCCTTATTTTAAAATCTTATACTTATTAAGCTTAATTTTTTTCTTTAAAAAACTATTTTTATGGTTATTTTTTTTAAATGAGGGGACACTTGTTTATGGTTGATTTTCTTAAAGGGATTTAAGTGTGCACAATTAGATTGGGTTTTCCCCTTTTCAAAAAAATCTTTGCGCTAACTGGCTTTCTATAAAATAAAGATTGTAATTAAAATAAAGATTGTAATCTACAGTTTTTCGGCTTTTTTTTCCATTAAAATATTTTAATTTTTTTTCCATGAAACCTAATGTATTTTTACTATTTCTTACTGAATCCAAAAAGAAAAATAGTTTTTCGGTTTTAAGATGTTATTACCAGAACTTGTTTTTAACAAATATCAGTATAATTTTGAAATTTTATAAATCTTATATTAAAGCGAAAGAAAAAAAAAAACAGTTTGAAATATTAAAAAGAATGATTTTCCTCTTCTTTTTTTTTTTAAAGAGGGAAGCAAAAATATAAATTGTCATCTGTTTGTTAAATATATTTGTATAATTACAACAAGTATATATCAAGGGTTTAATTAAGCGATGGCAATTTGCAAACTCTAGAAAAATATCTGGTCTTCAAAATTTTAGTTTGTGCAAAACCAAGTACTTTGTTTTCAAGGAGCAAGTTATTATAAGTTAGTCAACAAGAAAGTTATAAAAAAATAATAATAATAATAAACTTATGACTACAAAAGTAATGACACTCTACACCTTTTCAAGATGTAATTGAGAAAACAAAAATTGTAATTAAGAATCGTAAGATGTAATTGAGAAAACAAAAGTTGTAATTAAGAAACGTAAGATGTAATTGAGAAAACGAAAATTGTAATTAAGAATCGTAACATGTAATTGAGAAAATGTAAGTTGTAATTAAGAAATAGAAAGATGTAATTGAGAACACGAAAATTTTAATTTAGATATCGCTTTAAAGGAGTAAGTGTAAAATGGCGCTTAAAAAAAATGGCGCGTAAAAAAATGGAGCGTATTAAATGACGCACTTAAAAATGACGCAAGATTTGTAGCGTAAATTTAATTTTTTAGGGAAAAATTTATAATTTTTGGGCAAATGAATTTAACATAATAAACACTAAAAACATTTTAGGGAAAAATTTATAATTCAATTAAAAATTATAATTAAAAATTATATAATTAAAAATCACTTCATTGATTATTTAAGCACCAACTTGTACGTCTTCTATATTTAAAATAGTTGCATAGTGCGTGGTTGTGTGTTGTACCGCAGGTGCACAATCTCCCATTATAGTATTTTTCGCCTCAATTACAATTCGTTCTAAGTACTGCATGCGCTGTTCCGCAATCCCGTCACCTAATACAGGTGGAATGCGAATTGCATTTTTAACGTTACTTTTAATTTTGGACCAGATCGTTTCCACCGGGTTCAACATTGGACTGTAAGGTCCCAAACGTAACAACTGAACTGGTAAATTATCAAACACCCTTTGCAAACGAGCGTGACAAGGAGCATTATCTGTTACGACGACCAAATCCTCCAAACGATTCCCGGATGTAACCCACTGGTGAAACATAGCCAACATCCACTCGTTACAGGAATCTGCTTTAAATGATCCCCTGCGAGTTTCTATCATGACGACATTTGTAGTTGAAATAGCTGCGATCAAGTGTATGTTTAAACCTTTTGAAGCAGGTACTTTCATAATTGCTCTTTTTCCTTGTCTCGCGCGTCCTTGCGTTTTTCTACAAAAAAGGTTAAAATTTGTTTCATCCAACCAAACTATCTGACGACCATTTGTGATATGTTCGTTGATGTTTCTAACATATTCAGCTCTTTTTTGTTTGTTTTCATAACTGTTCATTGTAGAAGGCTCCTTGTGCACTTTTTTAAATGAGAGCAATCTGCCTTCGAGGTAATTTGCTATTGTTGTTGTGCTAACGTTTATGTTAAATTGTCTTAATATCTTTGTTTTGATGGCCACCAATGTTAATTGACAATCATTTTCAATCCATGTTAATGTTTCTTCGATTTGATCTTCGGTCAACTTTTTCGGTTTAAAACCTCCTTTTCCGATGAAATTTGAATTTCCGCTGCAAACCCAATTGTATGCTGTCTTATATTTGATACCTAGCGTTTGCGCGAAATTCACCCAATCTTCAAATCGCTCCGCACATTCAACAACTCTTCTCCTGTCATTTGGAGAAGATAAAACGTAACGTTTCCTTTCAACTTGTTCAGTTGTGTGTATTTCATGCCGACAAATCGGACAACTTGAATCTGGTTGTTCCAGAACTGGACGTAAACAAATTTGGTGACATAAATGTTGACACGGATTTAGCTTAATCACAGACTTTCGAGTCATAGTGTATTGGCATATAACACAACGATCTTTCAATTCCATTATTATTACTTGTGCATACAAAAGCAAAATTTAAGATTATAACTTAAATTCATGTCCAAAAAGACCTTTTGTAACAACCTACAAACTTAGACTGTGAGTTTGCTATTTTAATTTATGTGTTCTCAATTACAAGTTACGATTTCTCAATTACATATTATGATTTCTCAATTATATCTTACGTTTTCTCAATTACATGTTGTGTTTCTTAATTACATGTTACGACTTCTTATTTACATGTTGTGTTTCTCAATTACATATAACGTTTTCTCAATTACATGTTGTGTTTCTTAATTACATATTACGACTTCTTAATTACAACTTTCATGTTCTCATTTACATCTTGAAAAGGTGTAGTCACTAACTGTATTATAAAAGTAATAACTATAATAGTTATTACTTTTATAAGATACTTTTAAATTTCATTCTTAAATACATTAGTTATTCCAAACATTAATTAAAGTAGAAAAGCATCTAGAAAAAATAAAGCGGATATTCAAATATTATTAAAAACTTCAGGAACTTTTGCAAATCACTTAAATAACTTTATAAA